TTCAACTGGAAAAAGTCCTAATTTTGTAATTTATTACTGAAATTTTGAATTTTTTATGCTTTCGTGCATAAGACGCTTAGTTGACCTTCGGTTTACATTTTCGCCTCGGAAAGTCCTTAACTATCATTGGTCAATGGATTATTTTAGTACGCCATTTTATGGCTCTCCCAAAGGGCGTTTCTATCATTGTATAAATAAGCTTGACTTGTATGCTTAGACACCTCGAATTTTCTGGGTACCTGTAGAATACATTCTCTACGCCTTATCAAGACTTCTTGATCTAGTTAGCCGGGCCTAGGACAAACGGATTGGAATAGCCTATCGTGTCACTGTATCGTTGATTTTCGTTCCACTTACCGAGTAAGGTGAACTCGTAATAGTTTCAAGCATATTGAAACTTCATCAGTTGAGATGGTTGGGGCATGTGTTACGTATGCCTAACCACCGACTGCCTCGACGAGCTATGTTTTGTGGTGTAGGAGTAGGTTGGAAGAAAGTTAGGGGCGGCCAGACCAAAACATGGCAGAAATGCATGAAGTCACTGACAAGTGGACTGAGTCATGTTGGTAGATGTAGACTACCTGGTTGGGGTCCGCGAGACAATAGTGATTGATGGTTAGAGACCTTGAACGACATGGCTCAAAATCGTTTGGAATGGTGCAAGTGCATCCATTCGTTGAGCTCTCTCTAATCCTAATCTTCTGGATTGGTCAGCACCTCTACCTTTGTCTTTCTAACCTTATCTCACTGAATTATACTTCTTGAATAATATCTTCAAACCCTAGTCTTCTTCATTACCAATAATACCTCTACTATCTCTATCACTATGGGATTTGATTTGACATTTGCGTCTCTGTGCTAATGCGGTATGGCAACATGAACTTATGTACATACGTACGAAGTTCTACGTTGTAACTAACTGACTGACTGACTGACTGACTGATATCTGATGACGAGTATATCAGAAACACAGTTGTTTAGCTCTCAATTGATGTGTTAATCAATTTTATATTTGGTTATCTGTTGACAAATTATTGTTTGCATGAATAATAAGTCGATGTGAAGTGTGAACCATTAGACGATAGAAAACTATAGTTTGAAAAAAAAAAGAAATCGATACATGATTATATTCGATACGCAATAAAATAGAAAAATATGTTAATGAATAGAAATTAGTATTATTTCAAATGATTGAAATAAAAGCATCAAATAGTTTTAATAAAAAAAAACCCTCGAGATATCCAAACCTCATTGATTTATGAGACTTGCCAAATACTAAACACAGTTTGATGTTATGAACCAATTGTTAAAAGGAGATAGAAAACAGCAAAATTTAAATGTTTTTATTTGATAAAGTATGCTTTATCTCCATGAATATTTTCTCTAAGGAATATTAAGCTGATTTATTTGTGTTTTTCCTTTACAGCTTAATGCACAATTCCGTTGTCGAATACAAGTATTTATTGACTTGACTTGATTTTCAGAAATCATACTTTTTGTATGGGTTAATAACAGACAGAGAGATACAACGCAGAACTTCGTATGTAAGTACACCAGTTCAAGTGGACATACCAGATCAGCACAGAGACGCAATTGTCAGTTCAAATCCAAGAGTGATAGCGATAGTAGAATTATTATCAGCAGTGGAGAAGATTAGAGAGCGAAGGTATGATTCAAAAGTATAATTCAGTAAAATAGCTTAAAAAGAGCAAGATAGAGAAGATGAGGAATTCCGAAGGCTAGAATTTGAGAAAACACAATGAATGAATGCACCTGCGCCATCGCAAACGATTCTGAGCCATGTCGTTTAAGGTCTCTAACCACAGGTGTCTTCCGTCTTTCGGATCCCAACCAAGTAGCCACATGACCGAAGCTGCTACCTTGACGTGGTGGTCAGGCTTGCCTATCATAATGACCCAACCGAGCTATATTGAATGCAACATATGTTCCTGTAGGTTCTACCACGTCAGGCAGGTCGATTGGAGAGCGATCAGACGAAAAGCAGTTACTCAAGGTCTGAGGGCGAAGTCGTACTGCTGACTGTGATGGAGGGGTGTGACAGCAGTAAGGTGTTTCCCTCGGACAACCAGCATCTGCAGCGATACTGCTGCCTTCTCACAAGGAAGGAAGGGTTAGAAAAGGTTGACCCTAAAAATGTCACACCTCACCCTACCTCACGGATTTCCGTCTCCGTCGGTAAGGGTGCCCACTAAGGGCTTTTAAGAGAGGAGCTAATACTCACAAAACCTTTCATAAAAAGGCCGTGCGTGACCGGCCTCAAGCAGTTGTCCCTTGGGCTCTGCCGTCAGGCTCTAGGTCTCTAAGACCAACGCCAATCTACCTTCCTTTTCAGCTTTCTCAAGAAACAACCTTCCACCGTGTGGGCATTCGGGAAGTGACAACCACCCTCATATCCGTAATTGCAGGCGAGAGCAAATCGGTCATAATTCAAAGGTTATTAACAGTATCGGTTTGATCAAACCGAATTAAGTGGAGTATGATTTGAACATATAGATTAGCACTGAACAGGTACACATTATTTAAAAACAGACGAACTTTATGTTAATTAGTGGATTTTACTCGGACAAGTCCTGACTTTTATTGTACTACATACATATAATTATTAGGATTATAACTGGGAAAATTTTGGTAAAATATTTTACAGATAGAAATTTAGCGGTATTGAAGTTTAGCATATTTTTTAATCGAACATTATGATCAATATACATGCAGTATCCTATATCTTGGAACCAGTAGTATTTGAAATTGTCAGTTCATGGTTTTGGAGGTAGTTGAATTTCAATGTAATCATGAATTGATCAGTGCTAGATCAACATTAAACACCTAGAAGCACTAGGAGACTGTTACATTTTAATATGAGACTCATCAAAAATGTGTACATCCACGAGCAAGAAATCTCGCACACGAACGCTTAACCTCATGATCACTGAGGCAGCATTCAACGATGTTAATATTTAATCTCAATCAATCCACGATATTACGAGACTATCATACATTGTCTTTGGTGGGTAACTGCCTCATACTCGACACGGTTAAATTCCACCGATCACAGATTCTCACTAAAACTCCAAGGATAAGACAATAACATCGCTGTATGTAGTCACTGAATTGCATATCACTGCCCAGTTGTTTTTATTTACTCATTAATAGTTGGTAATTATTTTTCAGAAGAGATCAGTTCAGTACAATTTAGCTAGATGTCATATTTACTGAATATTTTCAAAATTATATATGTTTAGTATTTATAATATTTCTGATTGACATATATACAGTCCTCAACGATAATTGATTTATCAGCCAAACCTATAGAATACGTCAACGTTCAAATGTTCAGTTGTGGGTTATCTAGATAAATATCAGTTAACCACATTACAGTGATAATTTAACTAATAACAACTGAATGAGTATTTTGTTTATATTGATGTGAAAGATTGAGGCAAAAATATTTTTTTCGCCTGATATTGATTCTCTGTTTTCATCAAAAATAGGACAGTGTTTTGTCCAATAGTAAATATTAACAATAAAATATATTCATTCAGTCAGTCAAATCAGGTACAACGTAGGGACTTTGTATGTACGTACATCACAGTTCAAGTTGCCATACCACATCAAAACAAAGAGATAGATTTGTCAATTCGAATTCCATTGTAATAGAATTAGTAGAGAAGTTTTAGCGGTAATAGAGAAGATAACGGTTTGAAGATATTATTCAAGAAGTAGAATCCAATGAAATAAACTTAATAAGAGAAATATAAAAGTGATGAAGAATTCAGAATATAAGAATTTGAGAGAACACCGAAAGAATGAATGCAGCTGCGCCATTGTAAACGATTTTAAGCCATTGTCGTTCAAGGCCTCTAAACATCGGTTACTATTGGTCTCACGGACGTTAACAAGGTCTTATTTACCTTTAAATAACAAATATCACAATCAAGGGAAAATTCCTTAATAATAAGTGAGATTATCCTTTTTTTTAATTTAAAATAATCAACATTACACATACAATGAATGAGATTATTGATTTCAAGAGTTGAAAGTCATTTCCATGATACAACAGCATAAAACAAACACACACACACACATACAAAGACAATGAACGTCACTAAATATTATGTCTACATGAATGTAATTCAACAGCATTCGATCATCAATTTCATACACATGAAATAAATAAACGAAAATTATAAACGAAGGAAAGAAAAAAAATGTCGGATGATCATTATATCACATAATTAATCAAAATTAAAAATAAATCAATGTCAATAATTAACAGGACAAAATGTAAATATGAAACACAATTTAGTTCAAGCGTGAAGGTGAAGAATTACAACTAGTCAATAATAATAATACAATGAATTCTAAAGTTGAATTTAATTAAATGAATAAAAATAAAAAGACAAAACAACAATGACCCAAAAATTGACAAAAAAAAATAATTGTGATGAATAAAACTGGCCTACTTGAATAGGAAATGTTTGTAAAATAAAAACTCTCATGATGAATTTAATTGAAAATTGAACATTGAATGTTTGTAGTTGTAGTTGTTGTTGTTTTAGTTGGAATGTAATGCAAGGAGAGAAGGTTACAGTGAGAGAAAAAAAATGATGAAAGACAATAATAATAATAATAATAATAATAATAATAATAATAATAATAGAAAATGAATTAAGCTTTTTGTTAATCATGAGTAGTTATCAAAGAAATATGATGATACTCTAACAAACATAAATGGGAATGATTTTGGATATAAATTTCAACGCTTGTCAAAAATATCATGGGATCAATAATATAAAAACGAGAACAAATAAACATCACAGAGAAATAAAGAGAGAGAGAGAGAAAAAAAAATCAAAGTTTTGATTGAAATTCAACATAAATTCACATAAGTAATAATAATAATAAATAAAAAGTAAAATCATCATCATCATCAGTCATGAATTTCACACAGTACATTTTTGTAAGTAGTAGTAGCAGTAGCAGTAGCTAGTAGTAGTAGTAGTAGTAATGATAATAGTAGAAAGTAATATAAATGCAATAATCATGAAATACTTTATTGTATATTGGGGATGAAAAAAAAAACAAGAACATAAACTGCAAAAAGATGATCAATATTAGAAAGTTTCTTCTTTTCAATCGGGGTGGTTTTTTGGGGAAGAAGAATCTGGGAGGTTGTTTTACATTGTTACCGTCAGTAGCATCAAAATAGATTATCTATTTTTTTTTAAAAAAAAAATAAAAACAAAATATTGGAAATGTGCAGAACAAATCAATAAAGAGAATATTTAGTTAAAGATTAAAAAAAAATTGTCAAACATCAATGAACTACTACTACTACTACTAGATAGACAATGGTTTGTCAGAAATAATTCAACTTCTTAAAAACGGTTCATACTTGTTGATTATGCTGAATGCATGTAATTTTTGGAAAAAAAATTTGGATAATAACACCCACCTTAGGGAAGAATATTTAAAATCTTATGTAGCCTGAAGTGTTTACTATTTAGAGACAAGTTAGTCATATGATCGTATTATGAAGCTAAAAGTTGTTTTATATTGTCGCTTATTGAATTGGAAAATATCCCGGTTAGGCACACTTTATATACTTTGAAATAATCAATCGATCAATCATTGTTAGACCAACATTAGAAACCTGGAAACATTGAAAAACGGCCGTTCCATCCTGGTGTGGAACTCATCAGTAGTGCACATCCACGACTCCTGAACCTCACAGGATTCTGAACCCCGGACCTTCAGTCTTGCGTGCGAACGCCCAAACTCTGGACTACTGGTGTTAGTGTCTGATCGATCTATAGATTTTGCGCAACTTCACCCATTTGATTGAATGATGATTTCAATGCGCAAAAAACACTAATCTCTATAATTCTAATTGAAAAACACTTTATATAATTGGAGATATTAGAGAAAAAAAATACATTTTGCTGTTAGAAGTGATTGATTCTAAACAAGAGTCTTGACATACACACAAATAATGAACTACACATATCAAACTATCGAATTCAGTGGTCAATCAGTTAGTCAGTTAAAACGTAGAACTTCATACGTAAGTACATAAGTTCATGTTGCCATACCACATTAGCACAGAGACGCAATTGTCAATTCAAACCCCATACTGATAAAGATAGTAGAGGTATTAATGGTAATGAAGAAGACTAGGGTTTGAAGATATTATTCAAGAAGTATATTTCAGAGAGATAAGTTTAGAAAGACAAAGGTAGAAGTGTTGACGAATCCAGAAGATTAGGATGTGAGAGAACACAAAGAGTGGATGCACTTGCGCCATTGCAAACGATTTTGAGCCATGTCATTCAAAGTCTCTAATCATCGGTGACTTACGTCTCGCGGACCCCAACCAGGTAGTTTACATCTACCAACATGGCTCAATCCACTTGTGAGTGACTTCATAGATTTGTGCCGTGCTTTGTTCTGGCCGCCCCTAGCTTTCTTCCAACCGACCTACATCTACCAACATATAGAATAGACCTTTTAGTATATGAAAAATCATAATCTATTAGATGAGAAAGGAAATCGGTATTTGTTAAACTAATTTTAACCGGTAGGAAAATCTCAACTAAATAATTCTCCTCTTAAGCGTAAAGGCTTAGACGTTTTGAAAAAATCAAACAAACTTTAACATCGATTGAAATATGTATGAGTATTGGTATTGTGACAAATCATTTTCAAAGAAAATGTTGTACATGCAAAATGAAATAATGTACTATTGTAGTGAACGAGAACACAGGTGGGGTAACCGAACTGTATTTAACGAAACTAACAGAGTTACTCAGTAAAATCGAAAAACCATATCGTAAATTGTTCATTTGCAAAAGATCAGTTCATCATATCGAACTGGACTGTTCCTGTTACAAAACATCAATCCATTGTCACTACTATTCATGCGTTTCATACAAATTCCATTGTGTTCTAACTCTTCCTTTCTTGATCTTCCCCCATATTATGCTGCCGGACATTACGTTGACACTCACGTTATATACTACTACTTATAAGTAGCTCACACCACACTATGAGTGGAACATGATTGATAGAGTGTAGAAATAACAAACAAACTAATTATTTCTTTCTTTTCAATTTGATTTACACATTATAATCACACACAAAAAAAATAGATGTCATATGATATATGGAAACAGATTTGATCTTTCAATGAATTTTTCATATCATGTGAATAAACTTCCTGGTATATCCACCACACCACTAGCATTCCAATAGATGACCTAATACTGATGACAGTTAATGTTTGGGGACAAAAATTTTAAGAAATGGGGGGGGGATCAATCACTTTAGTTATTATAGTTCTAACGATGATAGCTTGTATTGTATAGAAGGAATTAAACATAATAATTAGAGTAACAGCAGGTTAAGGAGTGAAAACACTTTTGATTATATTAATAACTAGAGTGTGAGTATGAAACCAGCCTAACGTTATTTAGTTTGAGTAACTAGGTAGTAGCAGTAGTAGCAATGTGGTAGATGCTACTCACAAAATGGCATATAAGTAGGATGTAGAGAAGCATTGTTCAGAAGTTGCTGCTAGAGAAAAGTGCCTGAAGATCGATAATGAATGGGTCAATTAAAGTGAATGGATTATCAGAAGAGATTTGAGAGAAGACAGTCAGAATCCTGCTTATATTGCAAATAGATGTTTGAAGATCAGATGTACACATTTTGTAAACAAATGCATCTGAATTCTATCTGGTGTTGACGTCTACGTAAGTTACAGTATTATTGATGGTCACACAAAAATATTTAACTGAAAATATCAAGTATAAGAATCTAGTGATTGGTTGAATTATTTATGATTGCTACTTTCTCATATGATATATATCTAGATGTTACACTTTCAATTGATAAATATCTTTTGATATGCTGCACAACTCCTATCGTTACATACCAGCCTTAAAGCGAGTATGTCAGGGTGATTACGATTAAGTTAATTGTTCATGGCTTACAAATTTCTGTAAATATAATAACTGATGAATATGTACAAGAGATGAACGTTACGACTGAGATATCGGTATAAAGGTTCCTCTACAGAATTTTCTCTTTACTTTCTACATAAACATTTAGTCAAGTGTTAGGATAATTAGCTTGTTTTTTGCATATAAACACTTTCGTGAAATACAAATTTATGTATACTTAAGCAATAAGTTATTTGTATGAAGCCCGACAGAAGCTGCTACCTTGATGTGGTGGTCGGACTTGCCTATCGAGATGACCCAACCGAGCTATACTAGCTGGAACTTATGTTCCTGAAGGTTTTACCATGAAAGGCAGGTCGATTGGAGAACGATCAGACTAAAAGCAGTTACTCATGGTCTGAGGGCCAAGTCGTACTGCTGACTGTGATGGAGGGGTGTGACAGCAGTAAGGTGTTTCCCTCGGACAACCAGCATCTGCAGCGATACTGCTGCCTTCTCACAAGGAAGGAAGGGTTAGAAAAGGTCGACCCTAAAAATGTCACACCTCACCCTATCTCACGGATTTCCGTATCCGGCGGTAAGAGTGCCCACTAAGGGCTTTTAATAGCGGAGCTAACACTCAAAAATCCTTTCATAAAAAGGCCGTGCGTGACCGGCCCGAAGCAGCTGTCCTTTTGGCTCTGCGGTCACGCTCCCAGGTCTCTAAGACCGACATTCCTCAAGAAACAACCTTCCACGGCGTGGGCAGCTGAGAAGTGACAACCGCCCTCATACGCGTAACAGCAATTTTGTATGAAGATCAATGATGAGCATTGGACTAGTTAAACCGAGTTGCAGCTTGACTATGTTCAACAATTTGATCATAATGAAAGTATTTCATACAACAATGGTAACAAATGAACACAGAGACACATAAATGTTATGTATAAGTAAGCAAAAAATTACATCATAGCTTACCATTCATAAACGTATAACATTCTGAATAAATATATGGAATTTCAGGTGAAGTTATCGATTTAATTTCGATAGAAGACTTTCAAAACTAATAATCATCAAAAATAAAAAATTAACGAAAAAAGAGGATTAAAACATTAACAGTGAAAACTAAGTTACATTTAAATTATTCAAACATTTATTTAGGTTAAAAAAAAGAGAATTGAAGTTCTAACAAATGTATGCCAGTGAATTGATATCAGTCAATCAATCAATTAACATTAACGTAGAACTTCGTACGTGCGTACGTATATCAGTTCATGGTGCCATACCTTATTAGCACAGAGACGCGATTGTCAATGCAAATCCCATAGTAGAAGTATGGACAGTTATCGGAAAGATTAGGGTTCGACAATATTATTCGAGAAGTAGAATCTAGTGAAATAAACTTAAAACAAAAAGATAAAGGTGATGAAGAATTCAGAAGTTTGGGATTTGAGAGAACACAAAGAGTGGATGCATCTGAGCCATTGTAAACGATTTTGAACCATGTCGTTAGAATACAGGGCAAACTCACGAACCTACGATACAGTTGAAAAGAAAAGCTTATTTACTGAAATTATTGAACTGTCTAGTCACAAAATCAATGTTGCTAACTCAATAGAAATGGTTGTTATCTAACATAAAACAAACTGCTCCATAAAACAAACAAAATTCGGTTAATCCTCTTTTTATCAGTACCCTTAAATGCATTTATCGATTTGCATGCACGCGCCAAAACAGATACATTAGAAAAAAGTAGAACGAAGAGCGCAAGTTATTACTACTAAGAACGTTTAACAATACCTGAGACTAAGAGTTTTGACAGTGATCAAGTGTAATAGTTGGATACTGAATCGATAGAAAGCACAACTAATTGCCAAAAATACTCGATTTTATTCAGTATCTGTGCAACAGTTAGCGTTTCACTGTGGACTAACTTCGGTTAAACAACTGCTAAAATACCAGGAAGCATTGAACTGCTGTTTTGCGCTAGTATAGGATTGTTTAGAAGTGAGTGTCTAAGATTGCACGAAGAATAAAACTCAGACTCTAAGTTCTCAAATCCGGCCCCACTATTCGGCCAATAGGCTGAGATCCAACTTCAAACAGTTCATTATAAAGTGCAATAATCATTCAGGGCTCCTTATGGCAACTATTTCACATCAAGAATGTGTGAACTCTACCGGTTACAACCCACAAGAATTTCAGGGACTATGGTCAGTCGTTTGTAATAAAAACGTAATACACAGAAAGTATTATAATAAAACTTACAATTTTTTGACACCTAAATTCGGTCTAGAAGTACCATAAAGTTTTTCATCTGGTTCACGATTAATAGGACCTTGTACAGGAGGATCTTCATCCCTTTAATAAGCAAAGATTTACAAATCATTTAAACAAAATATTTTTATTATTAATTAAAAGAATTGTAAACTGATCAATATACGGGTTAATTTTACATGATAACAATTTTTATGTATGAATTCATCAACATAATGGTTGATTACTTCTAGACGACAGTGAACAAACACCAACACGAACACAAAGGAAGAGAAGGGAAAAAAATAATGATGAATGATGCGAATCGATGATGAACATGTAAAAATTAGAAAGAGCGATGCAAGTAATGAGTAGATTGTAAGAAAATCAAACCTAAAAATTGATTTTTTGTCTATAAGACCTAGAGCAATAATTTATTTACACATAAATAATAAACAACATGTGGAGTCAAATGTTTGAAGAGTTACTGTTAGTATTGTGATGTGTCATAAGAAAGTTAGGTAGATTAACAGAGTGATCAGTTAAATGTAAAACAAGCAACTATGATTGACGTGTAAGAATCCTTCCTATATTAGATGGTGAAGATTTATAATTTAATTAGATAATTTTGTCAGTCAGTCTGTCAGATGCAACGTAGAACTTCGTACGTAATTACATCAGTTCATGTCGCCATACCACATCAGCACAGAGATGTAATTGTCAATTCAAATCCAATAGTAGTAGAGTTAGTAAGGGTATTAGAAGTAATCGGAGAGGTTAGGATTAGAAGATATTATTCAAGAAATATGATTCAGTGAGATAAGTTTAGAAAGTCAAAACTAGAGGTGTTGAAGAATCCAGAAGATTAGCATTTGAGAGAACACAAAGAATATAAATGCACTGGCGCCATTGCGAACGATTTTGAGCCATGCCATTCAAGGTCTCTAACCATCGATTATTATCATCTCGCGGACCCCAACCAGGTTTTCGACAATTACCGACATGGCTCAGTCCACTCGTCAATGACTTCATGGATTTCTGCCATGTTTTCTATTGGCCGCCCCTTACTTTCTTCCAACCTATTCCTACACTACAAAACAAAGCTCGACGAGGCAGTCGCTGGTTAGGCATACGCAACACATGTCCCAACCACCTCAACTGATGAAGTGTCACTACTGTGTCTATTGATCTGCCATTCTTACCTAGCATCCGATTCCTAATAACAGCGTTGCTCACTCGGGTGTCCCAGGATATACAAGCAATGATTTTGTGGAGTTTTATTCTTTGAACTGGATGGTTTAGTCGTGGCACTTTCTATGTACTTTTGAAGAACATCATCATCTCAAACTTCACGTAGCAATGAAACAATCGAATTTCTTTTGAGTTGACTAAGAGATTGTCTTGTCGACTCCGATCACGAGTGGTTACTTGTTGACTTTTGATCAGTTATTGTCTGTATCTTTGATTTGATCTGATACTTGGTGCCACACTTGTCCACCATTTTTCTGATTGATTGATAAAGTTAATCGATTTCGATGAGTTTGTTGATTAACCTAAGTGACAAGTTTCTAAATTCCACTTCAAAAAACTTATGTACTCAGTATTGGTAAGTAAAACTAGCCCAATATTTATGTTTGGTTTTCACGTGGTTATTACCATACGTTGACGTTATCAGGTGGACCATTGAGAACTAATGAGCAGTGAAGATTTTTCTCAGCCTCCTCAACAATGTACACCTGCAATCCTACTTACACAGGATGAGAAAGCTTAGAATTCTACAAGTTTTCAATTCAATACCATATGGAGTAATGATTGTTGGTTGTTGCTGAAGTGTTCTTAAAAAGAAAAAGGACTCAACTATGATGATGATGCTCTTTGATTTGGAAACATTCATTCACTGATGAAATCTAACTTGAGCATAGAAAACAAAAGTTTTCACTTATATCGTTACTTCTGAATAAATCGATATTGATCAGATCAAAGAAAAGAAAAAAACATCAAATGATACTCGAAATCGTATGATTGCATTGTTAAATAATTGAGCATTACAACATATATGATTGATCTATGAACGGTTTACAAAAAAAATTAATCATGTGAATTTATTTGAAATTGAATTTCGGATGCATAACACACCGAATATTGATGATAATCAATTCTCTTTCGATTAGATAATTTAAGTATTTTACTGATTTCAATCAATTTTTTGTTTTATATCTAGTTAATTAAAAACGATTTCAATTTTCAAAACTTAAAATATATGATAATTTCTGAGAATAATTTTATTGAATATTTAACTATATGAAGAAAAAAGAGCTGAACAAATTAGGCATTCAATTTTTCGTAAATAAAGAATTTTTAATTTAAATGCTAAAGGATTTATGTCAGTCAGTCAGTCAGTCAGTTACAACGTGGAACTTCAAACGTACGTACATCAGTTCAAGTGGCCAGAACACATCAGCACAGAGACGCAATTGGCAATTCAAATCCCATTGTAGTAGAGGTAGTAAAAGTATTAGAAGTAATCGGAGAGATTAGGGTTCGAAGATGTTATTCAAGAAGTATAATTCAGTGAAGTAAATTTAGAAAGAGAAAGACGAAGTGATGAAGAATTAAAAAGTTCAGGATTTGAGAGAATAAAAAGAATGAATGCACTGGCGCCATTGCGAACGGTTTTGAGCCATGTCATTCAGGGTCTCTAACCATCGATTATTATCATCTCGCGGACCCTAACCAGGCAGACAGTATTAACATACACAATAAACACTTGATGAATAAGTTTTATAAATTCATCGCATTAATTCAACAAACTAATGTGTTTAAAGCTACTAACTTATGAAATGTATTGATGAATATCAACCTCCTTCCACTTGTCAGTTACTTCATGGACTTCTGCCATGTTTTGGTTTGGCCGCCCCTAGCTTTCATCCAACCAATTCGTATATCGCAAGACAGCTCGTCGTCGCAGTCGGTGGTTCGGCACACGTAACACATGTTCCAACCACCTCAACTGATGAAGTTTTATTACTTCATCTATCGACCTACCATGCTTACCTAGTACCCGTTTTCTAACAACAGCATTACAACTGGGAAATATAAGATATTAGATATGAAACAATTGTACGGTGAAAGGTTTTAACGATAGGAGAACAAATTTATATACTAAATATTTAGTGTAAGTATTTCACATGCGTAGTTTATGAATAGAATAATAATCTACAATTACAATCGAATGTTACAGTCACTAATCACCTGAGAATACTATCACTGAATGTTAGTTTTTATCATGAGTTAGTGAGTGAACTTTTGTACTTGTCAATAATGTGAAGACACAAAATCGGACATAAATTGTTTCATTGCTCAAGGCAAGTACAATCACTGATTGATTGGGAACCCAACTGGATTATATTTGCAATATTATCCTCTCACTCATAGTATTTGATCACAGCATCCTACCTTAAAGTGAGTTGTCAATGAAAGAATATTTCTTAGACTTGAGAAATCTATGCTTCCAAACTATGTTTAACATATCTATCAACAACGTCTTTATATAGATACGTCTTTGTACACATGATTCGGTTGCTAAATAGATTTTCTCTTTTGTTCTCGCCTTCTTGGTCAAGTAGCCAGTTTTTTGAGGATTAGCGCATATCATGTTCAGAACTGAGACACCATACATTATAACAGTCTTCTATATATTTAACAAACAGATTATCTCTATTACATGCATTGAATCGATAAAATGTATCAACTTAATCATCTAAATAAAGTTTATTACTATGATTATTATTATTAAATAGAGAAAAA